CTTACTATTAATTGATATTATAATATTCAAGATAATATTTAATATATATATGTGTAATTAATTATATTCTCATAATGAATTTGATTAGTTTTTAAATTAAATAAATGATTTTTATCATCACTTCGGAATAATTTAGCTAAAAGCCTATTAGCCATATGCCATAAGTTAAAAAGTAGTTTGTTGGATTTCCTCATTGATTAAAGTATTAAAATATTTTATACATTTTGTTCATACATATCATTAAATCATTAATCTACATACCTACAGGCTACAGCCTACAACATCAATATTATACCTATATACTGCTATACAATTTATAATATAATAATTTATTAATAGTATACCTAACACTTTATTACCTACTATATACCATAATAATATGTTATATACCTACTCGTATAGTCGTATCACATTATACATTTATACGATTACCGGATTACTAATTTATTATTAGTTACTACTATATTTACCTATTAGTCTTTAATCGTTATGGTCTTATGGACTAATTTTGTATTTTTTTTTCAAACGTAACGTGATAAAAATTATTTCGGGTTGGTAACTCAAATGTAATTTAAATACATATATTTAATGTGACAAGTAGGTAACGTAATTATAGTACTTTCCTTGCTCAAATGAACGAGAGCTTCGAGTCATCATGTGAATGAATTTAATGAATTTCAATATGCACGCAGCAGTTGATAATATTGTATAGGTACTAATATAGTGATATCATATTAATATTTTAACTTAAAATAATTAGTAATTAGTAATTACTAATTTGACATTATACACACCATTAATAGCGTGAGTAGCATATAGGAGCAAATAACGGTGACTTAGAGGATAAGCTCCCTTAGTCCTTACCAATATCAATAACCTCCCTCCCCTACAAAGTCCAAACATTTCCTTCACCGTTATACCTTACACCTATACGGCTATACCGTTTCAACGGTTGATTTTAAATGGTCTGGTAGGTATAGACGTATAGTAGCATACTGGAATGACTAAAAAAGTTTCATATTTCGAAATGACTCTGTTATTAGACTAATCGAAAGTATCCATCTGTCTACCACTTATTATGAATGTCTCGTTATTTTTTGAAATCAATCGAATGGATAATATTATTTTGATGTGACTTTTAATAATTCACATAAGTCATGCATTAATAGTATCAAGTGGAATTAAGTCTAGTATATTATAGATATAAGATACTATACGCCATAATATGGTAATACTATTGGTAATTGATTATTGAACTGCAAGTTATTAAAAACCGTCAGAATTTAAAATTTAAATAATTAAAATCATATGTAGGTACAATAAATAATAATATATTCATTTAGATGTATTTATTATAATATTTAATACGGTAAAAAACATTTATTTTTGGAGAAAAGTGGGTAGGGCCGGGCGTAATAAATATTTGTTTATAATATTAATATTTTTGTTGTCATGATCTAATGGACAAACGACAAAGGCTGATAAACACGTGGACAATATTAAAGTGAAATTAATCGTAAATTCATAAATTAAAAACTGTGTCCCATTCGTAATGCCATAGTTTGTCGACTATCGTTAGATGGCAGTTTTATTTCCCTGAGCATTGAACGTTCTTTTAAATTAAATTAAATACATTTTTATTTCAAAATTTTTCAGTTTTAAGATTCTGAGTGGAACGATGAATGTATTGATTGTACAATGATGTGTGTGTTTTTTTTTTAATTTTTTTAATTTTTTTTTTGTGTCTGTCATCACCTTTTAAGGCAGGAAAAGTGCTTGGATTTTCTTCAACAGTATCTTCTCTGATAGGAAAGTGAATCTAGTTGGGACCCACTTTGAGGGGTCAAAACTAAAATTTCCCAGTAGTTTTCAAAAGCTCCGTGAAAAACAAAAGAAAAATTAAGGAAAAACGGGAATTTTTAAGCAAAATCTGTTTTGGAGAAAATCGATTTTGGTTTTTGGTGTAACTTTAAAATAAAATGACCGTCGATAAGTGAAATTTTCACTGGTCGCTTATATTTGCATTTTGTATACACAATAACAATTTCAAAATATTTTGATTTATTTTGAACTGTTTAGGGACATTTTCAGTTTCCAATTTTATTAGTTTTTTCTTTTATGAATATTAATAAAAATTTATTAGTTGGTTAAAATAGCTTGAAAATTTAATAGAGAGCTTCTAGTATATTGTTTCAAAGGCAGATGAAAAATATTAAAAATCCTTAGTCACAGTTTTTTTTATAAGCATTTAAAGTTCGAAAATTGACAAAATATTGAAAATTCATGAAAATTAGCAAATTATTTTGAGTTAAGAATTCGTAAAATTTTTTCTTTTTAAATCTAAGATTTTAAATTATGATACAAGATTCCTTATAAGATTATTTGTAATTCAAAAATGAGTAACTGTAGATACATTAAAATTTCACTAAATGTTTATAATATTAGCATTTCCTATACACCATACAATTTTGAAAATATTTTGACTCTTTTTGAGCTGTTTACGGACATTTTCAGTAATTATTTTTTTTTTTTTCTATAAATATCAATAAAGTTTTATCGGTTGGGCCAAAAAGTGTAACAATTGAATACAAGGCTCCTGATATATTGTTACCATATCAGTTGAAAAACAAAAAAATAATATAAAATGTAAAAAATGCATAGGCACAATTTTTTTTTATAAGCATTTAAAGATCGAATTTTGACAAAATTTATCAAATTTAAAATTGAATAATTATTTTGTAGTTAAAAATTTATAAAATGTTCAACTTTTATATCTAAGGATTGAAAATTTAAAACAAGATTCCACGTAAGTAGTTAATTCTGTTACCAAAAATCTAAAAAATACATACCCACAGTTTATTTTTATTGTTTCAAATTTGGATGAAATTACATCAAAAAAACCTAGAATAACAATTTTAGTTATTTCGTTGTGATTGTATAATATTATTCGTGGGTACTTGAAACTTCTAAAGTACACTATTATATATCTGTGATAGTATCAGGGTTTGTTGTTGATGTATAACGTGTTATAAGTATTTACCTAATGGATATTGTGATATGATTAATTTTGAATTTATTATAGGTCAATTTCTTTTAATACCATAGATAAGTATATACCTAATATGCCTTTTACCTAGACTGACATACTGTCTCCGCTCAGAATCGTTTTTGTTATACAATAATATTATTATATCATTGAATTCAAATTTAATACTGTCCATAATACAATGACCCACTTGTAACCTACTGTACAGCAGAGCACCTTCTTTATCTTAACTTTCTCATGTTCACGTAACCTCATAATGTTTTTGTTATTCGCATCTCAGTATCCCACATATACTTATTGTGTTTAAATGTTTATATATATATATATATTTATTGTAAAAATAAAAAAAAACTTTTTCATATAGGTAATATGAATGAACATAATATAATTAAGATACTTTTTCAATTCACATGAAGTGGAGTTTCTTCATCTCACACTGTCTGATGAGTGATGATTCTATATAAGTTCATTCGAATGTTTGTTCCGGATTCGTAGTGTAAATAACAGTAAATAACATTCAAATAATTACTTGCATATTCTACCGGTTGTGTTTATAAATTTTTGTAATATAGGACCGGCCCTTTGGCTGCCCACTTTCCAAAACAGTATTTAGGTTAACATAGGCACATACTTTTTTTAAATTTCTAACTACCTAGGACTTTAGTTTACTTTTGTCGTTTAATCGTTTGTGTTTATGGCCTGGCTACTAGGCTAATGCCTAATTGTCTAATGTAAACTAGTATAGTAGGTACCCTGTATTATGGTATCACGGAAAAAGTCACACGCTAAGAAAATAAAGTCCCGATAAAAACAGAATGAAAATATATCAAAATTAATATAAGTATGTTAAAATTGTATTGAAAAATATATTAAATTTACATACAAATCATATAATATCATACAAAATGTATAAATTGTTAATACTTAATTACTTACTTAAATCACATATTAAAATATAATTAAATTAAATTAAATAAATTTCCAAAATAATAAAATGTTTTACGCAATAAGATACATTTCCTAATTATGTTAAAAATTTGTCACTGCGATTGCCGAATAGAAGTTACGTTTTCCTAACCATGTATTTAATCTTGATAGATCTTGTTTTTATTATTTTTATTTTTATACCTGGTATTTAATTTTTAATAATAAATAATTATGGAATATGATATCCACCGGTACGTCAACAATGGTACATATAAAGGAACTACGTAAGTTTATAGTTTTTAAGAAACAAGTCTTCGTTTGAAATTCCATATTATCGGTCCATTATAGGTTTTTGGTTTCCGGGTATATAAGGTCAGGATATATAATTTCCTGGATTATAAGGGTCGGCACTAAACGTGAACACAAATTACGAAAATATGCTTTCCAGACAAATACGGTCTTATGTTTTTAGATTTCGGTCATATATTACGGTCCGGACCAGTATACATTCCAGGATTATATTATGATCCGAATGAATACGTTTCGGAATTAAAATATTTCGGAATCATACGTTCAGCTCAGATATTGTTTAGGTTTTTAGATTCCGGACATATTATACGTTCCGTACAAATAAGTTCCGGAATTTATACTTTCTGCCTATACATTTTCCGGAATTTAATTAAATTTTATGTGCTGACAAATTTTATCAACATTTAAAAATGTATTTTATACAATAAAAAATGTAATTTATTTAATATTAAATATTGACTCATTATTAATTTTAAAAATATTTATTAAAAACATGATAGGTACATATAAGTAAAATGAAAAAAGGTTAGATTAAAGGCTGATTATTGATTATTTTTTTTAATCTAGAAATTATACAATTTATACTAAAAAAAGTACAATACGCATAATGTATGTTTATTAAATTAAATGAAGTGCAATAGCTCGAGTGTCTCGAGGGAAGAAACCATCCACTGAAGGTAGGTATACTTCGGCTGATTATTGATTATTAAATTTAAGGTTATTTTTTAAATGTATCGACCATTTCTGACCAGTGATTGATGTTGATTTTTGGAATTAATTGGGAATCACAGAGTTGCAAATCAGCCATCGCAGGTATCAAAAATACTTTTTTCTGCATCATTGTGACATTATTGCTGTTATCACAAAAGATTCTGGCAAGCGTCACTTTTCTGATTTCTGTCAGTTGATCTTAAATATTAAAAAAATATAGTTAAAATCAGGGTCATTTATAAAAAAAAGATTTCAGATATACTAACATTCATTGAATATATTTGGTAAATCATAAAAATATCTATCTGCCATTCTAGTTCTTATAAACTGTTCTCTAATGATACATCTCATCGTAGGCCCAACCATTGAGTCGTCTTCGTGTTTCTCAAACAATGCACCTACCAATAGCTCTATATCTGTCCAATCTCTGTATTGCTTCAATAGTCTATCAGTTGACTAAATATTATAATATACAGGAATAAAATAATCACTGTATTATTATTTAATATTTAATATACTTTCAAACTTACACCTTCAACCATGATCTTGGATAAATCTTGTACACTTCTTATAGCTTTTAGTCCACAATATTTTCTGAATTCTGAGTAGCTTGGTATACCATGATCGCGGGTTCGTTGTATATCCAAGCTGACAATGTCCATTCCAAACTCGTGGATGGGATGAGCACTGTATAAGTAATTTGTAAGCTGAAAAAAAAAATTCGAATCACTAATGTTAAAATATAGTTGAACGTATAATTTAGTCTGTTAAATGGATGATGTCATCAACAATAATTATGGTTTGTTAAAATTCCATTGCATTATATTTATTGTATATTTCAAAAACCTACAGTTTGAGTAAATAGCATATCGATTTTTTGTGTATTCTGCGTAGATAGCCCTCTGACAAGCTGATCCATGTAATTTGATAGTAAACCAGTTGGTCGGTTGTAATGTTCCCTTAGTGAAAGACTTGCGTTGATCACTCGGTGTTCCGTATATAAACTAAACAAAAACGTAGGTTCATAAAAATTATTAATTATAAGTATGATTCTCTTTAGACACAAAAGCACAGCAATCGACATCTTAATATATTGTTGTGTAGATTATCAATTTTGATTATCAATAGTGCATGTTATATAGAATCATGAGTCATTCTAATTGTGTTGGAACTTACGTACCTATATAAGACCCTGACATTGCCCAAGCAGAAGCCACTCTATACCGGTGACACGACAAAGTATCGCACAACGTGAGACTTGATTGAACAAACATGGTTTTTTTTTTATATATCAGTTTCTTTTTTTGTGGGGAAATTAAAAATGTTTTTACTTTTGTAAAAATTGAAAATTTACAGAATTTTTCGGAATCGAAAAAAAAACTAAGTAAATAATAGCTAACTATAGCTAACTATAGCTATTTTTTTTTTTATTTGAATATTAATGGAGCGTCTCAAACTCATTCGTTTTAATCAGTCAAAGTTACTATCAGACGAGTAAGTCCCCTTGCTTAACGCCATCGCTACTGTTTGACCAAATATATTTTATATATATAAAAATAAATGTTCGTGTGTAAATTAGACCTCTGGGTAGAAGATAGTCTAATTTAAAAAGGGTTAAATTTGTTTGTTTTTTATTCATCAGATTTTAGTACGGTTGGGTTAGAATTTTATATTAATTGATTATACCTATTAATCCACCGTAGGTGGAATTAAGTAAAAACGATAAACTTAGTATAACTTTGGTCATTGATACTCTAGAGTTAAATCATACACTTACGTACAAACAGCACGGGGTCCGCATTGCCTACCTGATAATATACTGCTGTGAATCAGAATTTTTATTCCGGGCAACGGAAAAGTTAAGATAAATTTTGAACACCATACACCAAATATTAAATAACGAATTGAACAAAGCTTGAGTCATAAATAGTTGGTACATTTAACGGGAAACGATGTGCACTGGTTCATAATATCATAAAATATACTTATTAATATATAGACTGACAGACTGTCATTGTTCAGAATCGATTTTCGTATACGAATCTCATTGAAGTTTAACAAATCAATTATTAAAGTAAACCCTTCTAGACGGTAGATGGAAAATTACTACGGTCTATTGTGTTTCCAATTAATGAAATAAAATATACGGAATATTGTTACTAAAAATATTTTATTTTCAGTGGTTCAAAAAAATTTTCCAAAATTAAATTAAGTTTATGTTCACAATAATAACAAAATAACAATATTGCTACATGAGAAATCGAGTGAATATAAAATCTTATAAAAATATGAACTTCAAACGCTTATAAAAATTTAATTTGATTTTCTTGTAGTCATTTTTTTTTTTTTTTTTTGATTAAGGTAGACAGCCTTATGAAGTATCTTGTATTATATTTAAAATCTTAGATTTATAAAGAACAATTTTTATGAATTTCTAACTCAAAATAATTTTCGTGAATTTTACGTATTTTGTCATAATTTGAACTTTAAATGCTTATAAAAAAAATTGTGACTGGATTTTTAATATTTTTCATCTTGTTTGAAACAATATATTATTAGCGTTCTGTTATATTATCTAGCTTTTTTACCCAACAAATAACATTTTATTAACATTTATCGAATAAAAAACTAAAATAATTGGAAAATGAAACGCTGACACACATAAAAAAAAATAATAAATAAAAAACACATAACTACTATAGAATACTATTGCTATTATTATAAAATTAATAATATATCTAATTGACAACAGCAAATGAAATTTTTAAATTCATTTTTAGATACATTTTTTTGCTAAACTTTAATCTTATGACCAACTACATTCAAAAGTTAAAATAATAATTTTATATTTTAATTATATTTTTTTTATATATTTATTAATTTTTATTTAACTTTTTTCCATGGATTTTTTTTCGGTGTCTTTTTTCCTATATTCTATAAATGGTTTCCAAAATTAAACTAAATATAAATTCACAATAGTAACTATTAATAGGAATACGATTTTAAATAGATATACAAATGTTCTCATTATCTTAACATAATGTAACCATATACGGTATCTAAATAATATTTTCCACTGCTGGATCAGAATCTAATAATATAAACATAAATTTATAATAGTTTCAATAATTAAAAATTACCATGGTTACGTTGTAGATTAAACTAACACTTCTCTAAAATTTATCTTAAGTGTAGATACTTTATGATTGTTTTTATATAGCTTAAGAAACTCTGATTTTTAGCGAAAGTACCAATATTCCATGTTCAAAACTATAGTACCATTTTTCCGACAATCCTTCCTAACATACTGTTTTTTTTTTTTTTTTTTTTAACTTTAAGAGTTTCTTAAATAACAAAATATATTCGCTCAGTAAGTTTTAATATATATACATACATTGAAATTTGAATAATATAATATTGCTTCAGATTTTGAAATTAAAATATGTAGTTACCATTTAAAAATCAAAAGCCGATTGTGGGTTCGCCGGGGTGAACTTACACATTCATCTAAACAATTGCTAAGAAAAATGTTTAAATGACTAGGATTATTCACAGTACTTATTTATAAAATTACCCCCCTAAATAACCTACATATACACGATAATAATAATAATAATATTATTATACCAGGTATGCACGAACCTGATAGTGTCGCTTAGCATGGAATTAGCGAACGGTAATATAGCGGTCGCAAAGCTGTTGCTGACGCTCGGGTCGGTGGTCTCGTTGTAAGCGTTACTATAGCCTTTTGTCGGCAGTTCAAGCCCGTTCCACCTGGTGTAGTTTTCCCCAAGCAGCGCTGGCAGCCACTCAGCGTAAGTGATGTGCTGTATGGATGCCGTAACGATTTTCCTGGCCTCCTGAAAAATACGTTCATCGTCCCAGTGCGGGTTTACGTGGGACAGTAGTTTGGCCAACCGGTTGTGTTCCCTCATCCACAACGTGTGCATGACCGTAAGTTGTGGAAGCCCATTTGCCCGGATGTCACCAGCCCTATAACACGTGCCGCTGCCATACTGACAGGCGTTTGATTCGGTGTCTTCCAGTGGCATATATTGCGGTTGTAGCGGGTCGCCATGGCTCTTGTTATCGCAGCCCATGCTTGTCAATAGTTGGCCGTCCAAGTTGGTCCTCAACAACCATGTTCGTTTCGCCGACGAACCGTAAATCATCGACCCATCTAAATAATGAGTAGCTTGGTTCATCTGCGAAAAATAACCATGTTAAGAAGTTCAATTTGTAATCTATGTTATCTATGATTTTAGGGGAATTTGAAAAGTCAGTTCTCAACTCTAAATATGAGTAACAAAACTGTGTACCACTACAAATGGACACTGTTTTTTTTTTTAGATAGATTCTCTTTTAAAATTTGAATTATAATTGTAATGACAGTATATATAAATTTACCAATCTTTTAATTATTTACCTAATTTTAAGTATTATAACCAATATAAATATACGTTTATGGTTATGAAATTATCTTATATTGCTCTTACTTGTTCCTTGGGTCCAAAAGTACAATCTGAACGCACAGCTGGCACTGAACGCCCGTAGTACATACAACGAACATTGTTGCTGAAAAATAGATCTTCAACCGGTACCTTAACTGCCAAGCACAACTCGTGGTATCTCTTTCCAGGGTTGAGCTCAACCCGGCTTTCATGACAACACCTCACAGGTCTATTACTAATCACTAAGGTAATATAATAATTTGCATACATTAATTATGATCAATCAATATATATATATTATTTGTTAATCCTACTCATTATAGAAATTGCAGTGTGAGATAGATCATGGCCTACAAAAATCGTCCAGTACGCCATTGCCATCGTTTTAAAGTCATCTGGTGAGTGCTCGTCTTTGACAAATGCAACGCTCAATATTCTAGGACTGGGTCTGTAATCCGAATAATATTCTTCGGGAACTTCTGTATGGACAGTAAATGAAATCACATCATTAGATCCACACAATGGTAAATTATAATGTTGTAAACATTACCATTAAACTCATTACTATAGTTAGGATACAGTAAGCGTTTATAAGCCGTGGTTGCTTTTCCCGAGAAGGAACGTTTTAAGTTGTTACAAGAACCATCAGGACTACGATACTTCAAGTTCATCCCGATGCAAGCAGATTTGTTGTAATACAATGACAAACACATCTCACCCATAGATGTCTTATCTAGTTTCACTTTCCGTAAGTCTTTGGCAGCTTTCCAACTATCAAGATAATTGAAATGGTCGTTAAATTTATGCATATTAGGAATATTTTTTTCTAATGAGATTTACCTTGGACATTCATCACGGCGTATCGAGTAGGAAGCTTCAGAAATAATTTGAGCATGCACATATAATGAATACAGTTCTTCGGAAAGCTGAGAATCAATCAATAGTCCATGCTCCGGGCTTCCAATATCCATACTTAAATGGTCATTGAAATTAGCTTCATATCCACCTTCACGCCTTTCAACATTTTTGACAACTTTTCGAATATGATCATCTAATTTTTTGGTTTTTAGATGTAGGTACCAGTCGGTTTTTTTTATTATCAAACCATCATCTATACAGACCATTTAATCATGGTTATCATTGTGTGTGAAAAATAATCAAAACTAAAGGTAAAGTTATGATTTATACCTTCAAAGTAGGTGTAATCTAGTCCCGGGTAACACGGTGGTAAGAATACCAACACACAAATCCACAGATGTATAGATATCGAGGAACTCATTCTGCTAATTATAAATTATAATAATTTAAAAGAAAATGTTAATTATTAACTATAACTTTTACTTTATATATTTTTACTATTTTTACTATTTCAAGAGCTTTTATACATAATGCACTCAAATATAGTTTACTAGGGCTTATTCTAAAGCGTAGTTGGGCTTATTTTGAGTATTGGGAAAACCTATATGCGCACTTGATAAACAGTTTTCAACAAAAAGAAAGGCTGAAAAGCAAACTGAGAAAAAAATTAAAAATATAAAGTCCTAATATTGTGTAATGTATTAAATTTGAATTCAATAATATTATAATATCATCGAATACGAAAAACCATTCTGAGCGGTGGCGGTTTGTCAGTGTGGATATTTTATATTATATTTGTATTACTTATTAATAATACGGTATCCAGTAAGTTGAGTAAATACTATAAAATCAAAACAATATATTAACTAAAATTATTATTCTTGGTTATTCAATATGTAAATTTCGAACATAAAATAACAAAAAAAAATTGTGTTAATATATTTTTGAGAGTTTTTGGTTACAGAATAACCTGACCTACTTACGAGAAACCTTGTTTTAAATGTTCAATCTTTAGCTATAAAAATTTGTACCATTGATACATTTTTAACTACGACTTTTTTTTAAAATATGAAATTTGATAATAATGTTGTAAAAATCAGGAAAATATCCAAAGTATTACCATAAAAACCCTATGAGATACCCTTGATAATAATCTTACATTTTAATTATACTAGCGGTCATTTCACGTGGGTATATAATTAAAACCCTACTTATTTCGTGGATTCCTATATGACAATAATAATTGTTTAGTAAAGTAGAGCATTTAATGAGCACACTCCTAGAAAGGCCAAATACAAATATACAATATATTACACATTATAAAATTAACAGGTTGGTAATTAATTTTGTAAAAACTGCGTATCAATAAGTAGTTACAATACAAGGGGATATCATAATAATTGTTGAAATACACAAGCTAAAAGTCAATAATAATAAAATAGGATATAATTTCTAACTATATAAATGTGAAATGAAAATCTTTGTACAGGAACTACTCTATCAGATCTTCTAGATTTTTTTTAAAAAACGAAAGAGTATATCACGAAGGTTTATATGAATGAAAATTTTACGAAAATTTTAGGAATAGTAGGAAATCTGGATGTTAAAAAAAGTTTTGAATACCATACACCGAATATTAAATAGATAATGAATTGAACAAAGTTTAGGTCATATAGGATTGGTAATAATATAATTTTATTATATTTTACTATTTCGGTCTATTTCGTTTTCATGTCAAAAAATATTTATCGTAAATTGTTTAAAGTTTAACATTTAAATCACTGGAATCTAACTTATATTAAAATACCGTATGAAGTATAAACACTCTAGTCTAGTAAAACTGAGTTAACCTATAGTTAAATTAACTTTTCACTTTTAACTTTTTGTTATTGTTGCATATAACTTAGCTTAACTGAGTTAAAAACAATCGTGCTGTGAATCAGAATTTTTATTCCGTTCGTTCAACATAAAAGTTGAGATAAATTTTGAACACCATACACTGAATATTAAATAACGAATTGAACAAAGTTTGAGGCATAAAGAGTTGGTACATTTAACGGGGCAACGAAGTGCACGGGATCAGTTAGTATAATATAATAATAAGGATATTGATACAATGTACTATAGAGTGTTACAATACGTAATATAAATCAACGATTACCGACTACACAATACAATACATAATATATGGTATGGTATTATAAAAAATAAAAATGTATACACAGCGGCTGATGTACGCCTTTAGTACTTCAATGTGAATAGATAACTTATAAACTACACATTACATTACATGATACTTCACACCATTATAGCATTTAATCTAGACTTACAATAATTTTGATCAATCGAATTTAGGATTTGGATAAAATTATATGGGTGATCGTATATTTTCTGGATACTAATCGATTGAAATATGTCAGTACCTTAGGAATATTAAAATTTTTACACATGAACAGTGAATTGAACATTTTAAAAAACATTTTAAACAATTTTATTAATCAGAGATCGCTATAGTATCAAAAAAATGTAAATATGGATAATAAAATAACCTTCTTATTTACCTAAAATAAATGTTTGATATTCACCGTAAATTGAATTATATGATTTAATGGACAGATTCTTACCTTTTGATTGATATCATGTGATTGAACTTGTATTAATTGTGTCGTTAAACACTGAAAATACTCATCCAATAATTAAGATTATTTAACCAATTAAGTTTAACGATGAGTTATCACGTCAATTCGTCGTCGTCGTCGATGCACTGAAGTCTGTGCCCTGTGGTTTCCAGTTGTTTTCAGTTTCCACTATGATGATACATGTGATATCGGGCGAACGACGATCCTATTGGGTTCACCCCCACCCCATGAAAACGATAGGTACTTAGCCGCACCAGTTTATTTCTAAACGTACAATTCCATTGGAATTTGACATTGGAGTCGTCGGTGGCGGTGACCAGTTTTTTTCTCTGTACAATTTTGGTCGAGGGACGTGCGAGTGTGCGACACTAAGACGCCGAGTTTTGTATTATTAAAGGCAATCAGGAATTCACAAACCGGTTCAATGGTAGTGCTGTGGGTCGTGTGTATCATATAATTTTTAGTAGCATAATATATAAGCCGATTAATAAAAACGTTAGCCTAGGGATTATTTGGAGCCGATTTCCAGGTTCAAATTCATGATACTTAATAATAAATAGCAAATCTTATAAAAATAAGTATCACGTAGTGACTTTTTGGATCGTCAATTACCTATTTTATGTCGTATATGACATTTACAATAATATACTCGTATTGAGTAACTACTATTATACCCAACAACCAATTAAATACACAACAGAAAACCGATGATGAATTTGTAGTTAAACAATTTATAATATGGTTTTAAATTAATGTTAAAATAAAACAAAAAAAATTGGTTCTTCTGATTTATAAGGTGAACACACTCAACCGTCAGTACACCGTTTAGCACGATAACTTGAACCATATAATATATTATTAGGTATTTATAATTTATTATTGTGACAATTTAAAGATATGTTACATTTAAATTAAAATATTAACTTTATAAGATTAAGCGCTGGGATTCTTACTTCTTTGATTATTAATGTGTTACTGATTGTTCTTTAATTGTCTGAAAAAATGATAGAATTACTTTGGAATATACCAAATTATTTACGATATAACACGTTAGTATTAACTTTTTAATAGCTCATAAACTGCCTACTAGTATGATACATAAAAATTAAAAAAATGTATCTGCTTATCAATCAACAGTAGAAAAAAATAGTTTTAATTTGAAAAAAAATTATTTATATTACCACATTACAATCTTTATAATATGATATATAAATCAAAATATTGAAAATATGGTTCTTGAACATTCCAAAAATCTGAAATTCAAAACATTTATTTATTAAATTAAAATTAGGAGTGAGCATGATTATAGTCAATGACCAGCATGAAGAGTAAAGCCTATATATTATTATACACGGTGTTTCATTAAGCGTAAGACACTCATTAACTCAAAAAGTATTAGGTAATGTTTTTGAAAATATTTTTTACATAAATTCAAGTTGTTAATAAGTCAACGTTTTTATTGAATAAATATAATTTTACATATTTTTTATCTTTATAATTTTTTAATTTTTTTTACATTTTTGAATGACAGCATAAGGTTTAATTTCATATTTCAAAGCAGAATATTTTTTTAAGTATTTTGATTCATAAAATCGAATTTAGGACGAGTAGTTTATGAGTTATAAGTATTTAAAGCTTTGAGTGGTGGAGTGGAGTTTTATGGGGTTACCCCGCAAAATGTTTGTCCACTACTCCGCTTGTCTAAACTTTAAATACTCATACAGTCATACTCATACTCATACTCAAAGAGTAGTCCTAAATTCCATTTTTATGTATAATAATTTAGAAAAATATTCTGCTTTGGAAAATGAAATTAAAACTCTATGTTGCCATTCAAAAAAGTAAAAAACTTAAATAATATAAGGATAAAAATAAGATATTTTTAACAAAAACGGCGAAAACTTTTTGAGATAATGAGTGTCTTACGCTCAATGAATCAGCTTTATAGTCAAAGTATAATTTATTTATTATGTCGGTATGTATACAATCACAATAATATATTTTATAACAATTAGGTATAATAATGTTGTATAATTCATGTATAACAATAATCATATTTATGAAGAATGATTATTGCTATTATTATTATTATTAACCCAGATTCTCTGGACTTAAGTTCATTTTGTCAGACTTAAGTTGGTCATTATCCAGTAAAATGTTGGAAAAAATTTTAATAATACGATGAAATAGCTTATAATTTATAAATGTATATTCTTTATTATTTAAATATAAGACTGTTTGAATAATTTCTATGGAATAACTGCTAAATGAAAATGTACAAAATTTAAATTAAAAATACACTATAATATAATATTATTTAAAAACGTCAATAATTATAGATACAAATTACAACTTCATTAGGTACATCTATAAAATATTAGTTGTAAATTACAACTATTTAATATTTTTTATTATTACATTTTTGAGCTAAAAAGTCTAATACCTACCCTATTACAAATTGCAACACTAATTGGTAAGTTATTATATTAATGATTTATAGAGTTATATTGATCATTTCAAATGTTTAAGCTGCCATTTAGATTAACTAAATACTATTTTGTATAGGTACCTACACTGTTCAAGCAGTCAAGGGAGTAATATAATTAGAATTTATTAAACACATTTTCTACCTAATTCATGCGATTTTATTTTTATTTCTAGTGCTCAGAGACCAGAGTATTAGACAAAAAATGTAATAATTTATAATAGATATTTAAATTTTTTGTAACTAATAAATATTACTTTATATGTTGTTGAAGTAACCAACGCCTAAATTAACACT